TACATACATACATACATATATATACCGATACTGCACAATATACTCCCGAAGCGCTAGTCTAACTCTGTAACCCCATATTCGCGCCTGTTGAATCTCCAAAACCCTGGTGTACCTTGAATTCTATCGGTTTCTTATCGTGGTTCAAGGAGCATCTCCCCAGCAAAGACGCACCCTAGACTTGAAGGTCCTAAAAGACCAGGGCTTCTTCTGTACTACGGTTGATGATACGAATCCTGCATTACCCATCATATGGAATATACCATAAATCCCATAGTCAAGGGTTTTTTTAAGGTAATGCAGGATTAATATCATCAACAGTAGTTTGGGGCTGTTGGAGTCAATTACTAAAGCCGCCAAGCCGTAATGTAGAAGCCTGCATAGTTGTCACTGCTATCTCCCAGAGCTCCTTATTATTGTAGTTTTTCTACACGGGAGCCCAAAACCATATTCCGATCATGAAGGCCCCTACATGACGGCATGGCTGCTTGCGAAAAGTAGGAACTTAGGCTTTACAATCTACGACGAAAACAGGTACCTGATACCTGAGATCTTGAAGCCCCAAAACCCGATGTTCGACTGCTTGATCATGGAATCCAGACTCTAAAGCCGTCTTTGCCCAGCAGTCCGCACCTTATGGCCTACGGCAACCCCCTGGTTCGGCCCTAAAATAAACCTCTTAAGCAAGAATTCATCGACGCCGTACGGAAACTAGGTTCTGGTAGGTTGAGGCAAGGACACAGCCATCTGCACACTCTTTTACATGTGGGCACTGGGGCCTTTTGTTCAGGTTTTGGCCTATTCTAATGATTAAGGCCCCTACATTATGGCCTAAGGGTTTCAAGTTTTGCACCCTGGACCCTAAACTTAACCCTAAAGCCTGCAAGAATCACATCAGCAACTCACCCCGAACCCTGAGCCGTAAAGCCTAGGTTGTGAACGCCGCAGGCCCTTCATCCTGAACTCTTGCAGAGAACCCAATGTCCCCCTTAACTAAGGATTGTACGGTTTAAGGTTTAGGGTTTAGGGTGTTATAGAGGCCCGAATATTCTATTATGACCTAAGGTATATTCATATTCGTTATATAGCTTGAATGATAGAGGCCTCAAATCATATCCCTCAATTCAGGTGTATTGGGTTCTCTGGGCCCGACTTCCCCCACACCCGAAGCCCCCTAATATCGAGGCCGGAATGATTACACATACTATTCCTTGGGTTCCTTTTTTTCCTTACACTGTAAATAATGTACCCCAAACCCTATTCTCATTTTTAAGGCCCTTATCCTGAACCCGGGTTTGGTGCCCCTAGTGCCCCAGCGGTGGAGGTGAGCAGTGGGCCAAAGATGACTGCACACTGTCTCCTACTGAGCTCAGCCAGGCGCGGGCTTGTGTCGGGTTGGGAGTTTCTGGGGTTCGTATCAACCAAGCTTTCGGCGTACGCATTCCGCGAGCAGCCAAGGGTCTGAAACATAAATAGACTAGCGTTTTGGTGTGTGTGTATATACATGTATATATATATATATATATGTGTGTGTGTGTGTGTGTGTGTGTGTATTTACATATGTAATCCCTTCCCCCTAATATTAAAAGGGGGGGGGGCCTCCCCCCCCAATAGATATTCAAAATATATTTTTATAATTAGGGGGTATTCTTATCGCTACTGCCAGATTTGG